AATTTAAATATTAATTTTTTTTTATAGTAATACATACTTTTATTTCTATTATTTAATTATTTTGCAGAATTTTTTATTTTATATGATAAAAATAATTTTATTTACTAAATGTTCATAAATTATTATCTATTGAATTTATGCATTTATACAATTTCAAACAAAATAGTTTATATCATGTTTAATTACGGATGTTTAAAACTGAAACAAACCATTTTCAAAACACTAGACCGATAAAAATAAAAATAAAAATTAATGAAACCGAAAATGGAAAAATTGCATTTTATATGTGATTTATTTTTATTTTTATATCTCATTCTTAAAATCAAATAAAATTGTATTTATAATAATTATATATTATTTTTGTTATATTTTTATATAAAAATTATTTATTCTTCAAATATTTATTCATCACTTTTATTTACTTTAGATTTTTATTTTTTAAATTAAATATATATATTTTATTTTTCTCTATCAATATTTTTATCCTTTTAATCATTATGTCTTTTCTTATTTTTTTATTTTTTAACAAACTCATTTTAATTTTTGAGTTACTACTTATTTGAAATTTAAAACTAAAATAAAATTCAAATAATAATAAATATTTTTAAAAATAAAATAATTTAATAATAAATAAATTCTGAAAAATTAATTCAGATTGATTCAATATGTTGCAGCTTAATTTTTAAATTATGTTTAAATTTCAACGAATTAAAATGGATTGAATCACGTGTATTTTTATATGCCATTCAAATGACTTTTTAAGTACAATATAATTGAACTGTAAAATTTTTTATGCTATTATTATTCTAAACTAATCACTCTAAGATAAATCTTAATTAATTAATTAATAGACAATCCTACAATTAATAAGTTAATAGAATTAAGAAATAATTTAAGTTTATAAGTTAAGAGAATCAATCTATTGACTAGACTTCTAATTAGTTAATTGAATTTAACAAATTAATATTTTTTTTAGTATTTTGATTTATTTTGTTACTTTTTATGATTATTAAAGTAACATGTAAAAAGAAAAATTATTATTATTGAATGATCATTAAATGTTAAATAATAGTATCAATTAATTAAATAATTGATAATTGTATTAACATGATGAATAAAACTAAATTAGAAAATATATAAGTATTTATAAAAAAAAATTGAAGTCTCCTACTTTTATCATAAAAATCAACTATGTGATTTTTTTATTTTTATTTTTTTTTAATATTATTTTTCAATAAAATACTCTCATTGATTTTATTAGTTAACTTAAGGAAAATTAGTAATAGATAGTTGTGATAATAGTTTATATGGAAGTGACACCGAAAGAAAACGTTTAATTTTATTGCAATTGAGGAGTATATTTTTCTGTCGGTTAAATTTTTTTAATGAAATAATAGTTAATAATTCGCAACATACGACCTTCTATTTATGAATTAAAGTGTAAAAATAAAATTATCGATAAAAACATAAAAAAAATGACAATAAATGGAATAATTAAATGTTTCATAGGCTATTACAAAACTTTAGAGTATCTACTATATATGTCACTTATAATTTTTAAAAATTGTATTTTTCATTTTTTAAACATTATAGTTAATACTAATTAGTATAACTAAAATTTGATATTTAAGGTGTAAGAGTGAAATTAAAATACAAATACAAAAATATGATATAAAAAAATTAAAGATAAAAACAGTTTTAAAAGAGGAAAATAATAGTCACTTCCTTAAATCACTTTATTCTAATTTTGGGATGTTTTCATCAAATGTTAATTTTACACCCTACAGATTATCATCCAGAATTTTCTCAAGTTCTTTGCCTTTTCTTTTCTTTTTATTTATTTTTACTTTATGCCTCAAATATAGTTTCCATTATTACAAATTGGCCCTTCCGCAGCACTATAAATTCCCTAACGAGGGTTTAGTCGCCACACGCTACGATTCAGTGACGTTCTTCTGCTCAAATTTGCCATCGTTCAGAGAAGCGTGAAAGCTTTTGATATTCAGAATGAGAGCTAAGGTTAAATACTTTTTCTTTGATTATTCATCTTTCTTCCTTTTATTTAATTTTTCTTTGTTATTGTTGATTTTTTTTTCATTTTTTAGTCGTAGTTTTATTTTATTTATTTTTTACCTGTTTCGTGTTGTTAAGGATCTGAGCGTAATCGTGAATTAGTCTAGGTTCTTAGGAATTAGGATGATTGACTCAATTGTTTGTTTAATGTTTTATGTTTATCTTAAAAAATTTTAACCTTGATATTGCCTAATCGAAATAGTTGTGAGAATTGCTTATGTATTCGGTGTTAATGAAACTGGTATGATTATTGTTGTCTTTGATTTTAAGGAATTTGATGCAATCTTTGATTTGGGGGATTAAAAGGAGAACGTGTTGATGTTGGTGTAAGCAATTTTTCAGGTTCATAATTAGATGTGCTTGTTGGGTAGAATGTGAAGTGCCACATGTCATCAATTTGGAATTTGATTAGATTAGATTTCATGTGACGTGATTGAACATCGTTTATCCCTGTGAAACCCTGTTTTTCCTTGTGCTGCCAATACTGGGTGCTTGTCTTACATCCCAAATGATAGGAATATAGTGTAGTGAGCCATTGAGATGCTTGTGTAAGTGTTTTATTTTATAATAAGGAATGAATTTAGGTTCAAGAATTCTTGAATACAATGGCTTGGCTTAACTTTATTTTTTCTTTTATTCAAAGTCAAATGCATATGATGATTTAAAGGATGGATGAGGGATTTGGATTCACTTTGGAGGAAACAGTGAGGAGGTAGTTATTGATTGGAAAATCAATAGTTGAGATTATGATCGAATGCAAACTATGCAGTCGTTTACAAGTCAATAATTGATTTTTTAACCAATGCTATAATTCATCATTTTTTCCTCTTAAGTGAATCTCTCTCACTCTACAACAACAATATCCTATATTAGATGAGGTTGGCTACTTGAATTGCATGACATTATTGGATTCAGTCAAAGAGCAAAATTTCAAAGATATTATTTATCACAATATTCGTTTTGATGATTTCTTCTCACCCCAGAGGAGCTAAATCATGAAGAAAGAGAACTGCGTCTATGTTAAATAAAGTTAGCTACGTGTGAATTTTGAGAAAGGTCAGTTGCATGAATGTTAAGGCAAATTAAAAATAGCCCGTTAGTACAAGTTTGTGTGTAAAGGCGTGTATGCATTGTCTCATCAGCAGCATAAAAATGTTTCATATCATGCTTGATTCATGATTATTTGTGATTTACTTATTATGGTTGCTGTCATGAGTTCCGATTTTCCCCTTTTCATATTAGTCTAACATAATGTTGTTATGCCAGTGGAAGAAGAAGCGCATGAGGAGGTTGAAGAGGAAGCGCCGAAAGATGAGACAAAGATCTAAGTAGGTGGGCAGGAGACAAGATGAACATTCCATCCATTATCATCTTCATGACATATTAGGCTGTTATGGGTCTAATGATCTTGAGGTCTGGTTGGTATGGGAGGCCTCTCTCTTGACCTAGTTTAGCATTAATGGGTTAAGACTATTGAGTGTGGGTTAAGTTGTGTCGTTGAGCGTTTTGTGCTATCCGAATGTACTGTTATGGTATTCATATTGATATATCTGAGAATAGCTTTTATTAGTATTCTAAGACTAGTATCAAAATTTGATCCTTTTATATGCTTCAAGTGACCCCTAATCCTCAGTTCATATCCGATCATGTTTTGTGCGTAGTTAGTTGTGCGTTCAGTATTATAATGGCTTGTTGAGATAGATAAGATTCGGCTTGTCTTTTACATAGCATTTGATGTATTATAGTTTTAATTACACAAAGAGATAAGACTCAGCTTGTCTTCTACATTATATCTTCACTTGATAGTCAAAGGTAAGCTCTCAAAATTCTAATTATATTTTTAATTACATAGTTTTCTAATTATAGGATAATATAGTAAAAAATAAGTAATAAATAACTACTTTTAATAATAGAAAATAAATTTTGGTAATCATAATTTTAATGTAATCTAAAATAAGTTTTAATAGCATAATAGAGTCATTCAAATAGAGGAAACAAATTTTAATAATAAATTTACTTACTTTAACGATCCTAATCAATTATAATAATAAAGAAGTCAAATTTTAGCTTGCTATAGCTTGATTACAATGTAGAAAATTGTGCCCTTTTGATAAAATTGTACCTTTTTTTATAAATATTTTTCTTTAAAGTTTTTTGAGTTTTCTTCTATTTTTTTTACTAAACTAGAAGTTGCGCCATTGATAGCATTGTAATAAAATTAATCTTAAATTTTAATTAAATTTAAAAATAATCATATCATGTGTGGTCTATGGCTTAAATTTATTTTTAAACAATTTGATCTTTAGATAAAGTTTTTGAAACTTGTTCATATAAAATTCTTGTAACGGAATTCTACTGTCTTTTAAGAAATTATTATTATTATTCAAATACATGTTAATAATTTTGAATTATTTTGTTTAAACACATCGAAGTTAGATTTGTCTTTGACTTGGTTGAAATATAGAGTTAGTGACTCATTAATTTAATTATTTAGACTAATTAAATAAAAATGTATAAGTATGGACATTTGATAAAAATTAAAAAATTTGTCACTAAATATTTCAATGTGTCAGTCAGTTATAATTAGAAGTGTGTAATATAAAATTCACACTTCGATTAATACAATTTATTTTATTTCCTATAATCCATTTGATGTCTTATCCTCTTTCAAAACTTTTGTTTTTCAACTTAATATATATTCAATATTATTTCAAAAACAAATTCAGTTTTATCTACAAACTAAAAAACATATTTAAAATATGTTCATCGTCAAATAGAAAAAAAAAGGGCAAATGAAAATAAAAATACGCCCCGAGGTTGCCAGAATCATCAGTTTAGGGAGTGTTGAATTCTCTCACGACTAATTTTAATCAATCGATATCAAAATGTTATTTAGAGAAAGTAAGTAAGAAATAACTCGAATAAGGCAACAAACTTAATATATAATAATAATAATATTCGACAACAACAAAGAAAATAATTAAAGAGAAAAAGAAAATCCAACTCTGTCCTAAAATATCCCGGTCAATGAAACCTTCATAACAATTTTTAACCCCTACCATAAAAATAACAATGAGTATCAACATAAACATAGCATAGGCACATGCCCTGAACAAAGGGGTGTTACTAGATGATTCACATCCTCATATCATATGCAACAGCTTTTCCATCAATTGAAGCAGAGAAAAGGAAATTCTGATCAGCAGACACAGAAAGAGATTCAATGGCTTTTTTGTGCACCATGAATTTTTTAACACATTCACCCGAACGGCTATCCCATAGTCTCACTTTTCCATCCACACATCCAGCAGCCACATTCCATGCACCAAGCCATGCCAAACATGACACTCCATGCTGTTCCCATGACAAAGTTGTTTGCATTAGATATTCAGTGAAAATTTACAATTCCAAGTCAAGTATAATCACAACCAGGGCTCATCCAGTTCCTAAATACACAAATATGACACTTTACACAAGCAAGATTCTAACAAACCTCATGGTTAAAAGAATCTCGGAATAAGGAATGCTCTATATCCCAAATGATCAGTTTTTCATCCATGCCTCCAACAGCAGCCCATGAACAACTATCACACAATTTCAAGGGACAAAATTACTTATGAGTGACATATAATTTAAGAGTACAAGGTCCAAGCCATGCAGTTATAGAAATGTTGAAACGATGTAGATAAATGAAATTCAAAACATGATGCAAAGATGTTCATAATTCCACTTTTATCAACTGTTCATATTTAAGCAAGGTTGAGGTTATTTTGCAGTCTATTATTTCTTGGATATAAGATGGAGTCAATTTTGAAAATTATATTATAAACCAAATCAGGTTTAGATCAAGAACTCCTAATATCATATAATGATTCATGACACTTAATTATTTTTTCATACTTAATGACAAATCCTGGTTTTATTTTGCCTGCTTAAAAATATGACTAAATATATAAATTTTTGGTTGTGACATTATTTTTGTCAATCATTCATGTACCTTGGTGCAAACCCAACACACTCAATGGATTCTGAACGAGGAGCCAGCGCGTCAATAACCTGTCAACCAGGACACGTTTGTTAGAAGATTTATATGCAAACAAAGTTTGCAGCATGTATACACAAACAGAACAATTATAACAACACACAAGTGATGAAAATGTACCATATAGGCTACATTATGCAAGGACAAAGTTTTTCTAAGAATTATACTTTCATAAATAAAAAAAACAGTTGGATCTAACACCTTCTTGACCTCGCAGTCTTGCTGGGTCTTATAGTCTTCAAGCCAGATTTCTAATTAATCAAAGTTCATAAAGAAAAACAGAGAATTTTTCTCCATATGTAAGATCAATTCCATTTGGAATTCCATCTAATTACTTGTCTGTCAATAAACAAATTTAATTTACTTAATTTTCTTACGTTTGCAATTAAAAACACTTCATAAAAGAAGTCTATATATAACTATAGTTATATGACTAATAATTTATGATATTTATTATATCACTGGCAACAATTTGTTTAGGAACATGTTTTTTTCAAATGAATTTAATAAATTTAAATTTAGTAAATCTTAAAAAAGAATGTAACTTAACTCAAAAAATTAATTGTAAGATAGAAATTACTTTAACTTTTATAAGCTCTTGTTACATGAAACTTTAGCTCACTCACTTTTACTCATGATTAGACATTGGGAACTAAGATAGATTTTTTAAGACTACACACCTCAAGGACCAAGTTGGTAGCACTGGTAAAGCTAATGAGACCAAATATGTTGCATTAAAAAATTTACAAGGTCAAGTAAGTAGCACTAAAAAAGTTTGTGGGGCCAATATTTTTGAATCAAAGTTAACTCAATATTTATTTTATGATAAGCTCTTATATCGTCCTAAATTTGCGTTAAAAAGCTTCCTCATAGAGTAAGGATTGTCTTAACTTTTATAAAATTTTACTTATATATTCATATTTGTGGTTTTAAGATAATCACGATATTTGTTAGATAACACTCAAACCAAGTAAAAGACTGATATTTTCTTAAATTTGAGTTAAAGTCTAACTCAACTTTAAAAGCTAACATATAAAGTGATAACTGTGCTAACCTTTATAAATTCTTCTTTAATCATATCCGTAGTTAATGTGACAATTTAACAATTCAAATTGGAGTTGAGTTAGCTTCTTGAATTGAAGATTGCTTAGAGTAGTCTTGTAATTGTAAATATAAAACTTAAAATGTACGACAATATAAAACTAATCTTTCTAAATGCTCTTTGATTGAATCTCATGCTTGTCTCCTTTAGTTCAAGAAGGGCAAAATGATTTTATGAACCAACAATAATCCTTAAAAATTGTTTTTTCACTCAAATCATAGCCAGTGAATTTGGGGGTTATCTTCTTTCAATAAATGCTAAGATATTTCACAACAATCACTGAAAAAAAATTATGTTCAACTATTTCTTTAAGCAACTATAATGTATGACATTTTGGTAGGACTTTAGAACTTGTAAAATTGAAATCAATTTTGCAAGCATAACATTAGTCATGAGCCAATAGGTTTGTAAAAATAATAAGACAAGTTGATTAAGGGAAATAGTACTACAGTCAATATCAAATGCAATGGAAACACTTACTCTTCCTGTATTGATATTGGCAAGATAGATAGATCCATCCTCCGAACCAGTAAGAGCAAGAGTTGAAGTTGAACTTATTGCTAAGCATTTTATTCTATCAGTATGGTATGGATGACCTAAAAAACGAAAGAGGAATAACTTGATATCAACTTTTGTGAAGCTAACATGACATGATATTTCTCAATTTTTATCCGGTGAATATGGCCCAGATACATGTGAAGATGCTTTTAATTAATTTAGGGCTGCTCAAACTGCATCCTGTTTTCTTTAATTGATTTTAAAGATATATAGAGGAATAATTTTATTTTTTCCATTTTTTTGGGAAAATAAAAGAACTATATATGGAGAATTTTAAGACCTCAGACAAAGGAGGGGCCGAGTTATGTATTGACAAAATGTGTCATTGGAGAATAGACTTCTACATATCTTTCTCTTTTCATATGACCTAACATCTTCCAAAATGTTATGTTCACCCCTATTTTTGGAGTGTGGTTTGGGTGGAAGAAGAAAGAAATATAAAAAAAATGATAAGTAATGTGATAAAAAGGAAATAAAAAAAAAAAATGTAAGAAAAAGTGTGTATGAATATACAAATGCTCTTGCATCTTTTTCTTGTCTCATCTCCCTATCTCATTAGGTGTGTATAACCTAATGAATGCATGAATATCAAATTTTTTTATTCATTAACAGCAAAAACACTATAAGTTAAATTTCCATACCCGGCTGTCTCCGCAGAATATGATTTCTTCCTCCACCTTCTACATCCCTTATCATCAAAGTTGAATCCTCAGAACCAGCACATATCCCTAAGATATCAAGTAAAAGGAAATTGAAAATTGCAAAAATACATATATAAATGATAACAGTTAACAAAACAAAAACCAAGATGAGGAGAAAGTACATACTACTACCATCGGAAGTAAAATCACCACAAGTCACACGACCATCACCATGACCAAAAATATTAAGAAAGTTAAATGAAACAGCATCCCACATCCAAACAGTGGAATCTGAACAACCAGCTAAAATTTTATGTTCTCTTGGATGCCACCTGATCCACTGAAAGTTTTCATGCAGTTGATTTAGTAACTATGTAAAGCATAGAAGGGAAGAAAAATTACAATCTCACCTCAATGCCCCCTTGAGCACCAGGACCTTCTAGTTCACCTTGTAGATTTCCAAAAGCATCCCACACTCTAACATTTCCATCTAAACTTCCTGATGCAAGAAACTGTCCATCATAGCTAAAAGCTAAACTAGAAATAGAATCTGTATGGCCTGCACACAATTAATAACAAGCTTATGTTAATCCTAATTAAAATTAGAATTTTATTTTATTTTTTTAAAAAATTGCATTTATTGTCATCGCTTGTTATCAAAGATAAAATTTTAATTTTCAATCAGTAAACAACACTTATAGAATTGCACTTTTATCTGATAGATAAATTATGAGGAAATGTAACTAAGAGAGTAGTCTTTGTTGTTTTTCATCCGATAGATAAAAAAAAGAGCAACGTAGTTAAGTCTTTCTAAACAAAATTATAGAAAATAAATTAATGTATTATATTATACTAAGAAGGTTCATACAAGGATATTTAACAATAAATTATCAAAGAAAATACTAAAAAGAATACAAGATAATGTCGTCTCTTTTTATTTAAAAAATAACACTTTTGTCTTCTGAGAGAATAATGTGTGCCATACTTTAATTAGTTTACTTTATTGTAAAAGAGTCCATTAGCATTGGTGGACAACTATGATCGAATATTCTTACGTATTTTTCTAATCTTTCTAATTTTTAAGTCACTGATACTAATTTTGAATATCATATTATTAACTTTTAAGCTTTAATAGATGAAATAATATCTTGAACAAGCATACTATTAACTTTGAAACTTTATTCAAAATGTTTTTTATTTTTTGAAATCCTAAAGTTCATGTTAGGATTCAAAAGAAGTTGTTGATGATTTTAACCCACGAAAGAATTAAAAAACTTGACCCTTACTTACATTAAAATAGACTAAATTATAGAATAATATAATTTTTAAAATGAGAAAAAAAGGCATTGTAATTTAAATATTCTTAAAAAATAGTATAATTTACTTTAATTTATATATATAACATTATCAGAAGACAGACCCAAGAGACAGAGAGTATGTCTACCTTTGTCCCAAATCTACTCTAACCGGACAACTAATTAACATGACCTTGAAAATATATTTTTTAATTTGTAAATTTAATTTTTATGTATAGCTCATTTAATCAAATTAAATCATAATACATTCAAATATGTTAATTGTTTTGATCCCTTCAAAAGTATTGGTTCAATTTTTGCTACTGATCTTGAAATTACCAACTATCAAGCTGTACTTTTTTTAAACAATTCTTTTTAAGATGTACTCAGAACTGCAACAAAAACTTATTAAAAATCACATTATATTACTAAATTTAAGGTATTGATGATACAAAATATTATATTTTTAATAAAATTTTATTAATTATTAATTTTTTATTATGCATACCTAGTCACATTTAAAAAAAATATATTTTAAACATAAAAGTTTTCACTCTTATAGGATATAAATACCTTGAAGGTGAAATTTCAAATCTTCTTGGCCAATCCTCCAAATAAATCCTTCATTGCTATTGCCCCCTGCTGCCACCAATGATGCATCTGTTGGGCTGCAAGCAACAGAGTATAATTGCAATTTCCCTATACAAGAATCCAAGAGACCATGCAAATATAAAAAAATTCTCTGGTAATTAAACACCTTGCATAATTAATATATCAATTTATATCTTTTATTTTAAATAAATACTAATTTTAAATATATACTAATTTTAAATATATTTGTTTAAAATATAAAATTTATCTTTACCTTTTTTCTCCTCCAAATCTTTATTTCCTAAACAAGAGAAAAAAACTATTTCATTCAACGTATTTTAATTTTTGTGAATATAAAATCATAACCATATCCTGCAGTGAATTATCATATGAGATAGATAATTTCACCTTGGGTGAACTATTGATGAAATTTTACTTTTAATATAATATTTTAACTTCATTAATTTATTTAAAATGAAATTATTCATCCCATAAAAAAACTAAAACAGATCTAGACAAGATAAATTTTAAATTATTCCTTGCAATGGAGATATCTATTTAAATTAATCTAAATCATATGTTTTTATTGAAATGCGTATTTTTCATAATAAACGTATGAGAATTAATTTTAAAAATTTAAAATAAAAGCAAGTGTTAGCCATTATCTTTAAGATATTATTAAATAATTAACATTAAAACAATTTTATAAAAAATATTATAAATACAGTCACATCAGAATTTTTAATAAAAAAATATTTTTTGAAATCAAAATCTTCAAAATACTAGTTAACAAAAACCCTAATGCAGCCAAAATCTTACTAGAATCAAGTTTGAAAATGCGCACAGCATCGTCATTCGCTTCTGAAATATTCAATATAACGTCAGTGTCAAATGTATTAACACGCTGAAAAGCAACACAAGACGAGAACCATATCGAAATTGAAGATAAGAAGGAATCATTAACAGCAAGTTCATACAACCATGATCGGATTCAGAATCGTCGTCTGCATCAGGAAGGTCTTCATCGTCCAAGGAAATTGCATCGATGATATCAGACTCATCAATGTAAACTTCACCATCATCATCTTCATCGTCGAAAGGGCAAACAGCATCATGAAAATTCATTGTATGTGATTATGTACGTGATTTTTCTAAACCCGTGAGACACAGAAATTTACTCGATTATAATTTTCAAATGCAAAGTTTTTTGTTAAGCCCAGTTTTAATCCGTAAACCCTAAATAGTTTAAAATCCTCTCATCTTTTATTTTTTATTTTTATAAATATTTAATTACTAAATAAAGAAAATATTTAAAATAATTTATATTTTTAAAATAATAAATACATAAATATTTTCATTTAATGCTTATTTTATAAAATAATAAAAAATATTTAAAAGGTAAGAAATATTAATAACATATTTTTTAATTTTTTTAAAAATTAATACACACACATATATATATATGAATGAAAGTCTATTAAAAAATACATTAAATAGTGTGTTGAATTTTTAAAATAAAATATATTTATATTTTTATTATTAGTAATAACTATTTTATTATACTAAAAAATTAAGCTAAAAAGATAAAATCAAACTAAAAATACAAAAAATTATTCTTTAAAATAAAATTATATTTAATTTTTATCGTTATTGATATGATATATTTCAAATTTTAAAATCTAAATTAATTTTTTATGATTATAATAATATTAAAATTTACTAATATAAAAAATTAAATTTTAATTTATCTAAAATAAGTCCTTAATTTGATATAATTTATCAAGATTTAAAATTTAAATCTAAAATAAATAAATATATTTGAAGAATAAAAAATAAAATAAAATGCTAAATATTCAGTATAAAAGAAGTTACATGGTTAATGATTTAAAAAAGAACAAGTTTATTTAAGATAATTTTAAAAGATATCATTTAAAAATAAAAATTCAAAATTAATATATCAATATTAATTCTACCAATAAATTGAGAAAAATGAAATGAAAAAGTTGGTGAATAAAAAATAAATTAGTACAAAACATGGATCATTAACATTGAAGTGGAAAAGGGAGAAGACAAAAGAAATGACATGGTTAACTAGAAATCCTACTGCTTACCTTTTTAAAAAACTAGGAAAGCAAGAATTATAATATACTAGTGAGCTGAACGGGTATTATAAAAATAAAAAGTACCATATAATTATTTTAAATTTCATAAATTTTAAAAATTAAAAATTATTAACAATAAACATAATTATATTAAATAAAATTACATTAAATATATCAATTTTTAAAAATTTAATATTGAAATTAATAGTGAATTAACAAATAATTTTTTTTATTAATATAATAATAATGTATCAAAATTTAAAATAATTAAGATTACAATAATCTTAAATTATATATATATATATTCAATTTGATTTCCTTTTGAATATAGTAAAATTTAATTAAAAATTAAATATTCAATATAAAAATTGAATAGAATATAAAAAACATTTATTTAAAATTACTTTCATTTAAAAACAAAAATTCAGTTTAATATGCTGAGGTGGATAAAAGGCTGCCCACTGAATTGTGTTTTGTTTTTGGTCAACCGATCTTCCTTGTTATTTATTTATTTTTCTTAATCGAGTCCTTAAATTATGGAGAAAAAGGCTAATCCATTTTTCTTTTGTAAACAAGACAATTGGGCTCCACTTTGTAGTTTTAAAAAGCTAATTAATTAATTAATTAACATTTATATAAATTAATTAAGGCCCTGTTTGGCATAATTGAAGTTTAAATTTAAAAAATAAAATTAATCTTTAAAATTTAATACTAAATTCAAATCACTTCCTACTTTTCGATATAAGCTGGTTTGACAGTACAACGACGAAAGTAGTAGGGAACAAGAGAGAAGGAGAGTTGGTGATAGTAATTGTAAACGTTTGATCCAATTAACGAAAATGAAAAGATATAGTTTACTTAACATTTAGAACATAAAAGTCTTTAACATGCTCTTAATAGATTGATAGTATCTAACATATCCAATCTTTTTAACACGGTTGTTGAAATATAGCACGGTTGATAAAGTGCCCAAGAGGAACATAATTTCAATGCATAATACACTGAAAGTTGGAAACGATTAATGTAGAAAAATAAACAATAAAATCAGAGTGTATTTTCTCTTTCTGCTGTAATTTTGTTTAATTATTAAAATTATAATCATTGGAAATTTCATGTCATACGCCACTAAAAATTTGACAATTCAGTCCATCTCCAAGCTAGAGTTTCTATAGTTTTAGCTCATTTTGAGTTGAATTGTTAGCTGCGATTTTAGAATTAACTCACTAGTTTGAGATTAGTCTAATGTAACTAATCCATTGTAATTTTAGAATTACACTTGTATAATAATTTCACATCATTTTTTTTTCTCTATTTCTTTTTTTCTTTCTATTTCTCTCTTCTTTCCACCTCTTACACTCCAAAAATGGAATGTATGAGTAACATTATTCTTTCTAAAATATGATCAACCTCTTCTTTTGGGAAAAGTGCTTCATAACAATTAGTGTCAAGATCTTACTCATTTACTGCTGCATCCCCCTCATAAAGTGCCAAAAGAGAGGGGACTTCAAAAATATTGTGGCATTCCAAGTCACAGTGAGTTCTAAGTTATCAAGTTAGCTTCATAAATATACATTAGTAACATTACATTTTCTTGGAAGTACTTAGGATGCTTCAAAGCACTTCATTCAAATATTATAGTTTGCAGTAAACTCTATATCTTAACTAGAGAGGATAAGAGCATACATTCACACGGCAATGAGATTAGCATAAAAAGAAATTTGTAATCAAGAAGCCAACCGACAATGGATAATACAAATTATTTGAAGAACTCAATTCACAAAAACAAGTGTTAAATTTCAAGCAATAAACTCTCTACTTGAACCTCTTCATTATTTATCTCTTAAACATTATATTCAATCAAAATTTCAAGCATTCCGGAACTATGTTTCACTGACCAATCAACAATCTAAAGGTGATCAAGTACTCAAGCTTAGAAAACTCCAGTCATATCTGAAAGTAGTCATATCCCTACTTACTTTCTGTTGTTATATACCCTGTGTGTTGTATGTCACTACCCTGTTGCTGTTAATTCCTTGAGGTCGTATTGAATAGAAAGCCTTTCAACAGTGCTTTGGCTCAGAACATCTTTCTCATACAACTCTCTCATTAGCTCAGCTGCTATATCTGTCTCTTCTTCAAAAGCAAGTCCCTCAACGAGAATGGTATATGTTGTCTCATTAGGCATACATCCTTTGTTTACCATCATCTGAAATACCTCTATTGACAAGTCTGTTCTTTGAGATTTGCAAAATCCAAGTATAAGTGCATTGTAGTTATCAACGTCAGGCCGGTAGTCATTTTCTTCTAAAATCCAGAATATCTCAAGAGCCTCATCTAGCATTCCCTCCCTACACATTCCTCTAATCAAAGATGAATAAGTATAGGAATCTGGAGTAAATCCATACTTTGTCATTTCATATAACACCTGAAAGGCTGGATATGTGTTCCCTTTCCTACACAAGCTTGAAATCACATTTTTGTAAAAATCGTGCATAGGGTAGTTCTGTTTGTTACACAAGCTTTGGATTATAAAGAAAGCCTCTAGCACCTTACCTTGCTCACACAACATTGCAACAGCATTGTGTGTTCCTTCATTAGGATTACAGCGTCGATGAATCATTTGATCTAGACACTGAATAACAAGATCCACCTTCCCTTCCTTGCAGAGGCGAGCAATAATTGGATTATAGCTAGTGGCACTCACCTTGAACCCACTCCTTGTCATTTCGTCCAAAACTTTGAAAGCTTGTTCTGTTCTTCCATGAAGAGAAAGAGAAGTAATTAATATGTTGTAAGTAACCACCGAGGGAGACTGGTCCTTTTTATCCATCTCTGCCAGAAGCTCATTCGCTTCTTCCCACCGCCTTTCGTAGCACAAACTCCTCAACAAAATGTTATAACTCACAACACTAGGACTGAAACCCTTTTCAGGCAATTCCCTAAAAAGCCTAATAGCTTCTTCAGTTCTCCCTTCCTTGCACAATCCAGTTAACAACACATTGTAACTAACCAAATTAGGCTCCCCACCCTTGGCAATGATCTCATCTAGAAGCTTCATGGCTTCATCCACTCCCCTTTCCTTATAAGCCGCTTCGAGCAAGAAAGTGTATGTGAATGCATTCGGAACCAAGCCCTTCTTTGTCAACCTATCCAAAAGCTGCAAGCTTTGGTTCAAATTACCATGCATGCAAAGCCCCTTAACAAGAGTGTTATAGGTAACAGTACTAGTTGGAAAGCCATGACCCTCCATCTTTTCAACCAACTGAATTGCATACCCAACATTGCCTCTCTTACACAGAAAATTGACCAAGTATGTATAAGAAGCTGCATCAGGTATAATACCTGAACCTACCATCATCTCCATTACCCTAAAAGCTTTTCTAGCTTTATTAGACTTGCAAAGATCATACAAAAGCTGAGTTGCTTGAGTTACATCAGGCTTGTGGCCTTTACCTACCATATATTCTAAGTGAAGAAATGCATCATTCATCCTCAGCTCTTTACCCTTTTGGCCATTCTTCCCAGCCCTCCAATTGGGGAGAGTAAAAACAGAATCTTTTGGGGAAAAAGTAATCTGGGTCGAAGCCAGAACTCCAGAAAAACCCTTGTTGGGTGAAAAAGTGTGAAGATTTGAAAGCTGGGGATGCAAGAAACCGTCACAACAGGTTCGTTTTGGTTTTTGGGATAAATTTGTTGCTGGCGACACCGTGTTCAGCAATGAAGCCATGATTGAAGCATACAATAATAATGAATAATGATGGTGAATAAATCCTAGTTAGTTGTTAACCTTTGCACATAGAATAAAAATCAATGAACATTCCGGGTTTGTTCTACTTGGCAATGTTACTATAACTAGTTTCAGTGGCTTCACTGTGATGATAACACTAAAGATTGGTCCTTGAGGAGAATAAAAGAGCGAGAGTAGAGAAAGAGAGAGAGATACCAGTGAGCAATTTTGGACAATGGATTCTGAATTCAGCAGCTTCAGCTTCGTTCCGACCACAACCACGTTTTTTCGTGTTATCCAAACCAAACAAATGGCTCCATGCTTCCATTCACACGTGTTAAACTAGGAAACCTTTTTCATTAATAAAAGTCCCCAGCAAAGTAATTGACCCATTTCACTTAATTTTAGAGTAAATTTTTTAATTTGGATGCATTGATAAGTATCATGATATGGTTATATTGATGAAAAAATAATAATTTTATTGAATAAATCTTCTTCTTAAATTAATTAAAAAACTATAAATTACTTAGTGATTATCTTTTTAAATAATAAAATATAATAAAAATTCATGAATAAAAAATTAGAACGTTTGAATTTCAACTTTTAAAGTTTGTTTTACATTTAAAATTTACTCACTTTCGTTTTTTCTGAGATTTTAAATATTTATAAGTGAAATATACATTTTTAAATAAAGATCCAAATACCATAACATATGATTAGTTTAGGTAGTATATGTAATTTTTTAAGCAATATTTTAAATTTAAATATTATGTATGAGAGGAAAAAAAAAAGCTCATGTTTAAAAGTGTTAATTTTATGTTTGAGACGATAAACTGAAAATTCCTGCCAATTAATTTATGTGTTCGGTAATTTTTATATTATATAAATATTCTTGACTTGAAAAACATTTTCTCATGACCTCCTTTAAAAAAAATTATATATATATATATATATATATATATATATATAGTTTATACTAAACCATCATAAATTAAATTTAACATATTCAAACTTTAAAAAAATAAATCACAAATTTTGTTCAAAATATTGTTTCTGACCATTAAATTACACCTCAGCAGAGTCCTTAACAGTTTTTGGGTTTGAAAAATAAAATAAAAGATAGAAACAAAAATTAAAAAAAAAAAGATGATAAGAAATTAAATTTTAACTAAATTTTGTTTTATAATTTAACAATTTATTTCATATTTAAGTTTTTATTAAACTTTAATTAATAATTAAAAGTATATTAAAAAATATATTTTCAATACTCTTCAATGTATAACAAAAAAGCATAAGTGAAAATGAATAAAATAACATTTTTATTTCGCTATAATTTTAGCTCAAGTAAAAAGATAAGAAAAAGTAATAGGTCAATGTTTGTTTTTATTAATTTAATTATATCAAACGTTATTAATTTTCCTTTTCTTGTCGTCTTTTCCTTTTTTTTTTTTCTTTTTTCTTGTATATGAAATAGTGTAAAAATACAAAAAGGGAAGCATCATTTTCAACATTATATCATCGGATTGTAGTAAAAAAAAAAAAATTATTATTTTTTAATGATATTAAATTGTGACAAATGGGTGCCTTATTATTTGTATTTGTATTATCATGAATTTATTAAGTATTGGGATTTTTGTTTTTTTAAAAAAAGACATAATGTAATTGTAGTTAAAGCCAATAAAATAGATTTACTCAATTAAAGAATTTAAATTGACGGCTTGAATAAATTTATAATTGTTTTTTAATTTGGATCATTTAAGCTCTGCCAATTCAGACTTAAAAAACAAGCTAGTTTGTTGGTCGTTTATAGCTCGTGTGATACTTTTTTATTAATAAATATTTTTTATATAATATTTATTTTAAATAAAATTTATTAACAAATTAATATTTAATTCTAAATTATAAATTATGATAACGAGAATAATAACGCAATATAAAGATTTAGATGATTAAGATATTATTAATAAAATATTTATTTTAAAAAGTTGATATTACTTTAAATGTTTATTTAATTTTGTTGGATGATGTAATCAATTTGATTTTATTTTTTTTTATATAAGTGATGCTTGTATATCTAGCTAAAGTCATGTTTAAGTTATCCTTTTAGAAATTCAAATTATATTTAAACTTTTTAACTTGATATGGGCAAAACGAATTGGATAATATAAATTGATAGTTTTAATTTTAGTTCATATATCTTCTATATTTTAAAAGTATATATTACACTAATTTTGATGTATATGAATAAGGTATTAAATAATTTTAAATTATATATATAATTTATGTAATTAAAAATTTTAATTTAATAATTAGTTTTGAATTAATTTGTCCAACAAAAAATTATTTCAATAATATAAAAATAATTATAACTTAAATCTGGTATAATTTTATTCTGTTTATATATATATATATATATATATATATATATATTATAAAAATTCAAATTATTTTGTACCTTTTAATTTAATACGAGCCAAAACGAGTCGGATATTCTTAAATTGGTAGTTATAATTTTAGTCGATATAAACTTAAATAAGTTAGACCATATGCATCTTAAATATGTTGGGATATTATATTTTTAGCCAACAATGATTTTGAACTCAAGGGTAATGAAATAAATTTAAATTTATATCACTTTAACAGTAAATAATAAATTATTTTTAAAACTTTTAAAATTTATTATTATAAAAAGTAACAACTTTTTTGAAGATTAATGTTAAATTTATTCATAACTATAGAAACTAAAAATATTTTTTTTCCAAGAAAAAACATCTTATCGAAGAAAACATATAGTTATCCACAAACTACTATTGAAATTCAAGGAAATAAGAATCAATTAATTAATTCCTTTAAATGATCTATTGAAGATCCTAAAAACCCAAAGGAGCAAGTAGACTAGGATACATGTTCTTATTTACTGTACAACAAATTGATACTTAGTAGGAAAATTAGAAAACAAATATTTTAACATGCCACAGCCAACGGAACATACCACTAAAAAATTATAATATTTTCTTGCATATAAAACAAATATAAGAATTCCAATCATACAATTTGGATGTTTTTCCCTCTAACCATTATGGTTCAAGGGCAAAATGTGATGGAATAGTTTGCCCCACCAGAGCAAGTAAAAGTGCTAGATTTGTCATCATATGCATAGCTATAAGCTTGAGGGCATTGATTCTTAAACATAATTGAATAATGAGTTGGTAGGCACTTGTCTGGTGAAGCAAAGGGTCCTGTGCAACAATACTGTGGTTGGTTCAAGGCCAAACATGCACTCTTGCAAGCAATGACACTTCCATCTGACCCTTTGATTGCAAAATTTGAAGGACAAATTGTGTTGACATCAAAAGGGCAACTACTTGTGTTGCATCCCTTTAAGCCTCCTTGTGGAGTCACTTTCACTGGTAGATTGAAACCATCAACAAGGCTAACATCATAGAAATCTAGTCCTCTATTGGCAGCTAGAGTGAATTCCACTAGAGAAACTGGAGGGGTTCCACCAGCACCATTGCATGATATTTGACCAGATCCACAATCACCAATGGCACAAGTGAATTTTCCATATGTGTCTATTGAACATTGAGATCTTGCCCAGAATCTACCAGACCATGGAGCTTGGACATCAAGTGTGGATGAAGCTTTGGAGGGTAGTTCAAAACCTGTTGAAGATAATTGTGAAGTACCTCCTCCAGTTAGAGTAGCTGGCCATATGGTGAATGCACAATTGTTTGTGATTGTGAATGTTGTTGAGTAAGCCCCTGAATTGCATACATGAAATGTGTTAGGCTTTTAAAATGTAAATTTGTCTAAGAGGGAGATAACAAATAACAAATATAGATGATGGGTTGAAATTAGAACTTGCCTGAGAGAAGAGTGGATAATGTGAGAACAAAAAATAAACCAACTTCCATATTTGTGAATGGTTTTGATCTTGCTACTTGGTTGATTTTGTACTTAGAATTTTCTCAATATATATAATGAATAGGCTGATGTATAATGCGTTTTTCAATCATTTCCTTTGTCTTGTATAAGGAGTAAGTTTTCATGAGCTTCAATAATAAAATCTTAATATTAGGGAAAGTTAAATTACTTTAGTCAAAACTTATAGCTTTTTGTTTTTCTCTGGGGCTCTTGCAAGAGAGAATAGCACAATTATCTTTTATTATTATTTTTAGGTGTATTTTTCTTAGAAATTAATCTTATTTAAGGACGGTCAAATATTAAATGTAAGTATTTGTTTCACATAAATTTGAACCATAATTTGTTAGTTGATGTTATTTCTTTTGTACTTGTGTAATTATTATTTTTACTTTATTGATTTAATTTTTATATTAATTAATCCTATGTAATAGTATATCTCAATTATTAAATTAATACTTAATTTAAAATATAATGAATGATTAAATTTTATGTAAATTTCGAATGTTTTATTTATATAAAAAAATTCTTTTTAAAAAATTAATTTTATTATATTATAAAAGAGAAAGATCTTCTTTATTAATATAAGTCTAAAAAAATTTTATATTTTTTTTACATTCAATTTAAGTTTTTTATTTAACTTACATTTAAGATTTTTTAAATTTATATTAGATGAAAATATTATACTTTTATTAAAAATGTCTTATATGAAGCATAATTATGATTTTAAATCAAAATTAATATAAAGCATTGTTAAATTAATTTTCAATCACTGGTATCGTGACTAATCAATCAATCCACTGATTGGAGTAGGACCATTTCGTTAACCATTTTATATTTCTTCCATTTATTTAACGTTTCTTTTGCTTTCAAGAAATTCTATAGATTCATGCTGAAGTAACGAGTATTAAATTAACCTCATCTCATGCCTCCATCACTCACAACATGTTCAATCAAACTTTCCATTGCGTCAATTAACTGGTAATCATTAAAAGATTTTCTTTCTTTTGTTATCTATTTTTGTCGTGTGATTAAAATACTTAATTTGAACCCTCGTCTTCCTCAATACTCTAGCTTCTTGACTCAAAAGTGAGAACTCACTTCAAAAAGGTTCATCTTCAAATCAAATCTTGTTGCACCACAGTGACCTTCGGATTTGATGAATACCAAAGTTTTTTTTTTTTAATTGCAAGGGAAATCTATTGATCTAATAAATTTATTTTTTAAATAATCTGATCAATTCAATCATGTTAAATCGAAATAATATAGAAGTGGATGAACAGAAATTAGATATATATGAATCCAGCTGGTTATAACGTATAAACATGGATATTAAAAGTGACAAGATAAGGCATGAGCTTGATTGACAACATAATTTTTGTGTTAGATTCTCTCGATTAGTTTCTAATACGGAACATTTAGCATAAAGTTCATTCTTGCTTTATCCATAATGTAGTGTGCTGTATGAAAGACATAAAGTTGAAGTAACTTTATGGACATTAATTCCAGAAATTTAAAATCACCTGCTTAGGATGTTTTTTATATGAAAGTAATCATATAAATTTAGTCAATTATTATATAACATAATTCTCTTTTTAATGGTTTCGCCTATGTATTTTTTCTCTCAAATCTATCTCAAGCTTCTTCTGCGTCTAATGATAGGATTATCATCTTCCATCTAGTTTATTAATTACGTTTCTATAAGTCTTTTCATACATGATTAAAGTGTTTGTGGTAGATTTTTTTATAATAAGTGCCATCTCAATTTCTTTTAATACATCCATTTCTAATACTATCTTATCTTATTAATACTATATTCACTCATCTAAGACTACATTCTAATTTATGCTACATGGTGTTTAACATCTCATTAGTTTTTTACAGCCAAATTCTTATTCATATAACATTATAATAAATCTTATAGTTTAATAGGAAAAATGTTCCCTGATTAAGCCTAAACTCCTTTATGTCATAAATAACAATAGAGGTACTCCTACATTTCATCTACTCCTTGAATCATATTATTAATTTATATCACCTTTCACCTTTTTTTTTTCTCTCTTGTTCAGTATAATGAACTTAATATACTTAAAACCGTGACTCATGATAAGTGTCGTTTCTGATTTTCACCTTTAAGATAAGATTAGTGTATGTTTTCTTGATTTTATATTAATTCGTATGCTTTATCTTACTTTTACTTTTTTAAGCATTGTACTATAAAAGTTTATATCCACGTTTTTAACCCTTTTTTTTCTCCTCCTCGCCTTGCTAATGAGTACTATATCATTTACAAAAATAAAAAATTGCACTGTATTACTAGCTAACTCTTACACTTTGTAGATGCAGATAGAAACTTCCTCTATTATTCATCCAATTTTTTTCTTAAACTTTATATTCGTACAAAAAAAAAATTTGAGCTAATTAATGCCTTTTCAAATTTTACAGGGATGTTATTTAGTCTAATTACCTTGTCATATCTATCCATTAACTACTTAATATCTTTTCAAATTTTCAGCATTATATATCATGATATTTATCTAAAAAAATATTATATAAACACTGCGTTTTAAGATTAAGTAGCTAGGAATAAAAGACTTCACTAAATAGTTAGCATTGGGATTCGCTCAGGAAATCCAGAAAAAATACACTATGCCAACGTAAAAACTTTACGGAAGGCATAAATTAATGTATAAGATAATAATATTTTTACAAAATATGTATATAGATTAACAATAACATCAATTTTCTCTGAAAATTCAAAGTTACTTCTTTACATCAAATATTTCATTTTGAATAGATTTAAGAGATTCTATCCTCGTGTGTTTTTCAAAATTCGTAGTTTACCTTTTTGTAATTTTAATATACAAATTTCTGTCTCTCTAGAACAAACTCGTTGATTCTGGAGGGTGACACGTTCCCTCCTACATCAACATGCACTTGTCACCATGCATTTACGACATCTTCAACCTTTCTTATACACACTTGTCACTCAATTGTGCAAAGAACCAGCCACGTGTGACAGTGCCCTTTGGTCCATAAATCCACCTTTTTCATAATTATCTTAACCCACTCAACCCTTCACAAAGTGCTTCCAAAGAGAGAAATAAAGTGAGATTGAGTTAATTGGAAGAATGGCGAAGAGCAAAGATGACATAACGTATGGAACAGCACAAGCAAGGCTATCAGAAGATGAAGCATTGAGGGTAGCTTACAAGCATGGTACACCACTTGAAGGAGGAAAGATTGCTGAGTCTGAACCTGTTGATATGTTTTCAAGTGCTCATAATATTTCAAAGAACAATCAAACAACAGCACGTTCCAACAATGACGATGATAGTAATAATCAATCTCAATTGCATCATGATCACCCTGAAGACACACAAGAAGGAGATTCTTTGGACTTCACTACTGGACCTCCTTGCTTGCCACAAAAGGGTCCTCCTCCATCAGTGGCTCATAAATTTTGAAGGCAAAAATAGACAGTCTTACTAAGTTTAAATAAGAAATTAGTCACCATGAAAAAATATATGAAATTAGTCTCTCAAGTTTGAGGTTTTGTTTTTATCTCTTGGATTTATTTTCCTTATATTTTAATATATTTTTTGTTTTAATCTTTATCGCCCATTTGATCTAATAAAAAAATTAGCATATAACAGTCTTTTAGTGACCATGTTAGGAAAAGGAATTAAAATAAAAATATTCATCCCTTAAAAAACTTCTTAAAAACTGAACTCGAAAAAAAATCATGACCTGCAAGTTTATTTTCTTGTTATTATTATTTGCTGTTTCAGTTTGTGAAATGGTGCATCCAAAAAACTATATTAATAAGCTTACTGTAGGGTTAAAGTGGGTCGGCTTGATTAAATTAATATCTAGTATTTTTCGTTCCATTCTTTCAAAGTTTTTTTGGTTCGAATTTGGGTTGATTTAATTTATCTAATAAGTAATAGGTATGTTCAGTTTTGGTTTTGTTTTATGGTTTTTCATTTTAAGCAAGATTTTCCTCGATATTCTTACGTGGTTTTAATCATATGAGCAAAAGTGTGCCAATTGACCTCTGCAACAGAGGTCAACCCCTCATCGTTTTTTAACCCTTATTTCTTCTTTTATCTTTATTTTTAATACACCTTCCTCTTTACATTTTTTTGTTTAAATAAATTATTAGTCCCCTAGGATTGATCAACTTATTTAAGCTTTTTTTTAAATTATTTTGTACAGGATACAAGTGTGGACTATTTCTCTGAGTGTACTCAAAAACTTTCTTTTCTCAACTTCTAATTTTATTTTATTTTTGCTTTATAAAAGAAATATTGACGGCTTTTATTAGAGCTTCACGCCGGCATAATTAACTCAGTAAGCAAACTGATTTGAAGTATAGACAGATTAAACTCTCGTCAAAAGCGGAGTTACAGTTTGAGTTTCTTTATTTGTTTTTATGGAACTCCCAACAATAGGATGGTTTGACATGCATAGTTATACCTGAGATTTTCACATAGTTTTCAGATAGAAGATAATTTATATGTATATGATGGCCAAGCAGAAGATAGTTTCTTAACGTCAGATAGTAGCAGAATTTGTTGCATTCATTCGTTTGGCAAGATTTGCATGCTAACATCGAGAAACAGAATCAGAATTTTAGAAATATTTTGCTGTCTACAAGCGTACTGTTATATAATATGCAGTAAAACTCAACTGTTTCCACCCACCAAGTAGGCATGCAGCCATTGACAACCAATACGTTGTAAATACACTTCAATGAATAACAGGTTTCAAGGGATGAGCTCTAAGTCTTGACAAATCCAGATTAGAATCCATATCTTCATCTAGTTCACCAACAACACTTCTGCAATGACCAAAAGGAAATCATACATGATACAAATTTTAGGGTATCTCCATAGTGCCACAATATGAAAATATATGATACACAAATTGAAAAATGGAGTAAAGGACGTACATGTTGTCACCTCTAATGATGTACAAACCGAGAACAAGTTGTTGCACACCTTCCTGTCAGTAGAAACAAGAATGATATGGTATAGCAAAATTAACAACCACTATTGAGGAAAGATTTGAAGTCACAGTCATCGTGGGAAGATATGGTATTGCAAAATTAACAACCACTATTTGCCATATTAATGAGGTGCTGATTTGATTAATAAAATAAATTTAAGAATACATAACTGTAGATAGGCGCGCAAGAGATACTTATGCAACTGTAAGCCAAGAACATTATAGATAGTAGCAAATACTTTGTTGTTAATACAGAAGAAAGTAAACAGCTCCAACCTCCCAAGGCCAGAGTTTTATGTTCCTGTCTCTATCTACAAACAAAGGGCAAACAATTTCTGCTTCATAAAAAGACAATGCCCAAAAAGTCCGAACAAGAAAAAATTTCTTCTAATCACTAAACAATATACTGTGGTACAAAATTGTAAAGTGAAGCATATGACCTAAACAATATCCCCATAGTCATCAAAAAAGCATCAGCAGTCAGAGTCAGGAAACATTTCTGTCTTCAAGATTCACTCAAGACACAAAAACAAATAGCAATAATAAAGACAAAGTCAAGTACAAAAGCAAGCTCATAAAATGCCTCATCTCATCACAAAATATACCTAACTTGTGATTTTCTAAAATTAAAAAAAAAAAAAAGATTTTTCTAACGTGCCTAAAGATACACAATAAGAACGTTAAAGATATCACACAATTCAACGCATTAATAACACTGAATGCTACAATCTTAAATAAAAATTCCTATTTCTTGATTTTATTTTTTTTAACATGTGGTTTTAGCCACACGTCAAAAAAACCATAAAAAAAAAAGCTACAAATTATGACTAAAAGAATTTGCTTTGAGTAGACAGTCATGATAATTAGCTCAGTATCAAGCAGATCAAAACTGTGGCACATATTTTTATTTGAGACACTTAACTCAGTCTGACAAGTTTAAAAAATAACAGACAAGCTAGAAGATAGTTTACAAAACTTGAATTATCAATCTTGGATAGTGGCGTGTCGCAGCCGACCCTAACAATGTTATAACGGGACAGCCGCTATTTTGAAATTTTTTATACAGATTATATAATTTATACTATATGTATATAAATACTTAAAAAGCTAAAAAAAATGCTCAAAATGCATGACATATTCATAATTGACTAAGAAATCATAGGTCTTTGGGAGACACATGACCAAAAACCCTCAAGCTTTAAGGAAGTAAGACCATCTTTACTGTCTGATGTATCAATGGATTAGATCAACACTTCTCATTATAATTTTATTAAAGTCTTTTTTTAACATATATAAATTAAGATAGATAGATATAGATATATAAGATTCTCCTTCACCCCACCCATTCTGCTTGCTAGGGCCATGAGCGAAGCCGTGATTGGGAATCAGGAGACATATCTGAGCAACAGACTCTGTAACCCCAAAAAACAAAAGGCTTAATTCATTGTACTGCCATCATTAATCTAACAGTTCCTCTCCCATTTCCCTTTTCTTCACATTTCTTGCACTCTAATTCAAAACATAAATTTGGAGGAAGGGTCACTTGCACTCAGGGATCCAGTTATGGAGAATAAGATGGAGGTTTGCTATGTATAGTATAAAATAGTAAGGAGCACAATACAAAACAAAAAACAATGCTACAAACATTGTTGAGGCAGAGAAAAATATTTGTAGAAATAGTTTTCAAGATAGAAGTAGAAATAACATCAGCCAAATATCTATCAAATGGATGAATACATGCAAACACTGATTAAATGCAAAGACAGCAACATCTCTTTAATAAAATGGACAAATATTTATGACTTATAAAGCACAAAAAAATAGTTTAATTTTGGGCAATTGGAATTTCTGAATCAGTTCTGCAACAAATGGTAATTACTATTCATAGAAAAATAAATGTCTTTTGGTCTCATATATATGACATCTAGTATAGTAGGCATGGATCACCTTATGCAGAATCTGATAATACATGATAGCCCTGTATGTAGTCTAACAAAGAGAACAGGTGGGCAACAGGGAGAAGTTTCATGCGTTCTTTAATTATTTAATTCTTTAATAAAATTATAACGAAAAGTGTCAATCTTAGCCGTTAAAACATTGAATGGTAAAGATGTGCTTACTTTACCCTCAAAAGTGAGAATGCTCACTATACAAGAGCCAACAGCCAAGTCCCAAGCTAGATATAAATATGATTACATTGCATGGATTGAAGTTATGGCTAATTAATCATTGAAGGAGAATTTCAGCATAATTTCATGCATACCTTTGTAGAATAAACGCGTTCATGGGACTCATCAAGAATTATATTTGTTGCCTGATCAAAACCTTTCAGGACTCCCTGAACAAAAAAAGCATTGTAATTAGAAGTTAGAGCCATGACACCTATTAAAATACAACAAACTGTCAAGAGCCTATTTTTGTTTAAATACTAAAGCTTACCACTATATTTCGTCCGTCATTTGTGATGACTGAAATTGTCTCTGTTAACACCCAAAAGGATCAGTAAAAGGTAGCAAATAGCAACTACTAGCATAGCACATCTCATGTAATTGTCGGTAATAAGCATGGCTAATCATATATCTATGTGCAGCATACCAAACATCAAAGAAAAACATAAATATTTTACAAATGGCTTACGATCCACAAGAGACTCGAGTCCAGGCCCAGCTGACATCTTGCTTTTTAGATCACTAACACACTTATCCTCACACCTGCAGGCAATTCAATGTCAAAATATTAATTAATACGATGCAAATGTACACTGAGAAGCAGCTAAAATCATGTAGAGCCGAAACATGATGTCCCAACTCACAAAACAATCAAGCATTAACTTCAACGGCAATTTTTCCGGGTTTATAGCACTAGTTATTTCAGAAAGCATTAGAATCATTCATATAGGAGTAACATAAAAAGCACGAACAATTATTAACTAACAAAAAAATATTCATGAACTGTTATTTACAAGATCTCACTCATATAACATTCTCTATTTCAGTACATTAAAAAATCCAGTCATCATGACAAACGAGACCCCTCGGTATTTTACAAAGGGAAAAATTAAACCAAACGCTATCAATCCTAAAAGCACACATATAGAATCGATGTTAAAAAAAAATGAATGCAAAAAGTTGTTCTTTCTGTGTACGATTGTTATAATTTATAAACCTAGAATGTCATTACATCAAGCCACATCCCATGAGCAAAGAGCAACATTAAACATAATCCCCAAAGCTTTTGATTACACAAAAAAGAGTAAAAAAATTGCTTAACAACTACAGGAACAAAATGTAAATGCCTTTTAATTTATTTTTACTAATCACTTATATTATTCACTTGACTCCTCCCCCAATTAGCAAAAGACTAAACTCGCTAGATATTATGATGGTTACCAAATCCTATTACTCCAACCCAAATTTATTTTTGGCGTACATAATCCTCCAATCAATTGAACCAACACAGGTTGTGGTTTGATGTAGTAATAGCATTAAAGGTTAGAAATGATTAAACGAAAGGTTTACCTTACGATGAATAAACCTCACAGCACGTAGAAGAAGAGAGGGCAATCTAGAGAGGGGAGAGGGAGAACTGAACACCCACCTCAGTTTCACTATCACCACTCACCAGGGTTTAACAACTACAAACGAATAGGACCTACTTAAATAAGGATATGCTCTAAAAAATTATCAAAAAAAAATATTTCTATCAAAATTTTGAGTTGGATAAGATAAAAAATAAATTCGTGCTGTCTCATCCCATGTAGATCTCTAATATTTATATCTCTGTTTTTCACAAACAAAACTCAACATATATTTGAATTAGAAAAAAGATAGTATTCATTTTAATGTTTTTTACACATTCATAATTTTATATTACTTGTAGTAACATTTTAAATACTTTTATTACTATGTCTTAAGACACTTGCAAACTCCCTGTAATTTAGATTGTGTTGTGCCTAATGTGAGAAAGTGAAAGTACCAATTTCTCATTGGATACAAGAATAAAAGTATCACCTATAAAAGGGTAACTCCAAAGCCAAAGCATTGGCCACGGCCACCTACAACATTTTTGTAAACTTTATATAATAGTATATATCAAATTATTTTTAACTCTTTATTTTCAATTTTTTATATTTTTTATGAGTTTTGTCTCGCCATGTATTTTAAACTAATATAATTTTATTTGAACTGTGGACAATAAATTTTTTTCTCCAAGTATTTAATATATTTTCATTCGTTAAAATTCAAATTTTCTCATTATTTAATTCACATGCTTGATGATTTGAGTATTGTCATAGGCTAATTTAAGTATTGTAGTAGATGTTAGTGATTAATTATTAAATACTTAATATAGTCTTTATACTATTAGGTTAATAGTAAAAGTTAGTAAGATATATGTATTAAAAATATATAAATATTATTTTTAACAATTCTTTATATTTTTCTGTCAACTTTCAATTCTTTTTTAAACGAGAAAAAATAGATAAATGCTCAATTAAGACTTTCAATTAATATCTCATGATTTTTTGTTTGTTTAATATTGATTGAAGTTACTTTTTATTATTTCATCATTGCCGAATTATTTAAAATATTAAATATTATATATCTTCCTATAATGTTGGCATATTTTATTATTTGACAAGCATATGTTATATTTGGTTTGAGTTTTTTTTTTTTTTTATACTCAAATCAACTAGATATTTTTTATTTATAAAATACACTGGTTATATTTTAAAATTGCTATCTTTAATTTATATTTAATAATTAAAGCTTTTTCTTCTTTCAAATTGCATCCTCTTTAATTTTTTTTTTTCTTGAGTTGAAATATTATCATAAATGTAATATTTCAGTTTAATAATTTATTCTTGAAACATTATAAGAGTGAGAAATTTATATTTTTAACCGATTAAATGTTATCATAGATGTAATGTTTAGAATTTAAGATTGATAAACTATATAAAAAATATTTGTGGTAATCATTTAAAATTTAAGACGCGAGAAATTATATAAAAAATAGTATTCGTTAAGATTTAAAATAAAACAACTCTCTTTAATTAATTTACATGTTTATTGGTAATTTAATTACACTTTTAATTTTTATATTTTAATTCATATATAATAATAATTTTCTAAATTTTAATTATTTATATTTTTTTAATTATTTAAATTAATTCTCTTATCATAAAATTTTATCTAATTATTAATAAAATTTTATGGCATATTATTAATTATACAAATAAAAATATATAAAATATAATAAAAGCTTTGTTGATTTTAATTATTTATTATATATATTTTTATAAATATTATATAAATCAATAATATATTATATATTTAAAAATTATTAAATGATTTTTTTTATGTAAAAGACTTAACTTCAACAATTAAAAATAAAAATATTAAATATAAACTAAAATAAGAAACTAAAAGTGAAATTAAAATTATTATTTATTTAACATGTATATTAAAATTTGACAATTCAAACATTTATAAATATATTAGCTCTGAGTAAATATTTAAATTAGATGGTATCATAAAATACTACCTATTTTAAAAATTATATGAACTTTTATGTAAATTTAAGGTATTTTATAAAAGCTTATATAATTCATATTAGATAAATAAATTATATTAAAAACGGTTATTAAGACTATATTTTGTTAGGAGTTAGTGAATTACACTTATTATCAATAGATTATGTTTCATTATTTAATATTTATTTAATATTTATATAACATTTATTAGATGTATCATTAGGCATTTAAAAAATGTGCAAACAAATGAAAAAAATGATTAGAGAAGATGTTAAGGACATGAGCCACTCTCCTCAGTCACGCTATCACTTCCGCGGAAGAAACCACCGAAACTGAATCAAACGACAATGGAAGCTGAGGAAAACGACAGTGTCGTTGTTCAAACGGAACCTTCGAGTTCCCACGCCGGCGAGAGCGGTTCCGAAGCCAACGACGGCGACGATGATCCCCTCCGGCAGAGCTCCGACGTGTTGGCGAAAGGCCTGTCTTCGATGCTCTCTTCCGTCATTAGGGATTTCGATTGCAGAGCTCAACAAACTCTCAAAAGCCAAGACCACCTCTCTTCCGCCATCGATCGTCTCACCGCAGGTTTCTCTTTCGCTTTTTCTCTACCGATTCTTTAAGATTATGCTAACTTTTCAACATTAGCACTGTTACAATCGAAATTAGATTCAATTTTACGCTGTGCGCTGCAAGTAGGTTATTCTTTTCCTTTGTTACTATCATTGTTGGAAGAATTTGCTGTTATATGTATCATTGTTAGCATGTTTGGTTATTAAGAGTGAGTTATATTATGGTTTTTAGATTATTGACTTAGTTTGATTGTGGACATGGATTTAGGGCGTTTGGCTACAGTTTATATCTCTTTTCTCTCTCTCTCTTTTTGTCAATTTGTTTTTTGACCTTAAAATAAGCTAATTAATCAAAACACAAACTTAGGTGTGCTCAGATAAACTTTGTCACTGAACTATCTTAACATTATTCTGTTCAACCTACTATTGTACCAAAGCAGCATAATCTGTGGATGGACCTTACACGGGACTATTGCACTAGTGAGGTTTTGCTCATAGTTATCAATCATGGATAGCAGGACATAGGGGCTGGCCTTGAAAATACTGTAGCATGATGGTGGCTATTCTGAAGGATATAGATACAAGCTATTCATTCTTTAAAATTTAAAACATAAAGCTATTCATTCTATAGTGTTTCCAAACATAAAGTTCTCTTTTCTATTCATTCTTTAAAACCCTAAAAGCATGTAAAAGAGAGACTAACAAAACTAAAAGAATAAGAACACCCAAAATTGAATCAAGACATTTCAATACAAAAATGGGAATTAAAATTTAAAACATTATCTTAATATCTTCAATTGAATTACTATTAATCCTTTGGAATAGAAAAACTACTTAGTCATGATGCGGTTGGAATGCATAGGATTTAAATATAACATCATGAATTCAACTAGATAACCAAAAAGCTATGAAACCTGGATACTTGATACAATATAGATACAAGGATACGGACAAAATTTAAATTTCAAGATACGATAAGGCTTAAATAATTTAACATGAATTTAAAGAAATAATATTTATAAAGAGATATTGATAATTAATTTATATTAATATGTTACATTTACATATCAATGATCACATTTTACAAAAAAAATACATGCGATCATATCTTTCTCTTGTCTATGAACATATCAAAAAATTACATACTTTACCTCCTATTCAAGTTAGAATTCCACAAAAGAAATGAAAGTTCTATCCAAAAATGGAGCATGATCATCTTGAAGTTCTAATGAACCAAAGTTACTTAGAATTCTAAAATTAGAGTTAGAACCAAAACTCATTTTTTTTCATCAAACACAGCTGTTGAAAAATGCAAGAATAACATTTTTACTTTATTCCTGTAAAATGAATAGAAAAGAGGAAGTTTGTGAAATTTTACCGCCACAGCAATAGAGAAACAACGTTAAAATTGTTGCTGAAGTCTAGAAAAGAGAGAAGAGAAACAAAGTTCAGAACACACCCACTGTGACTTGAAGTCCGAAAATCTCCTCCTTGACGAGAACGAGGAACTCAAGGTCTCCAACTTTGCCCTCTTTGCCTTGCCAGAGCAGCGGAGATCCAATGGGATGCTCCTCACGCTGTGCGGAATGTTGGCTTATGTGGCACCGAAGGTGCTGAAGAAGAAAGGATACGATGGGTCGAAGGCTGATATATGGTTGTGTGGGGTTATCCTCTTCACTTTGCTTTCTGAGTACCTTCCATTTCAACACTGATATACAGCTCCAAAGTTCAGGAACTGTAAAGCCCTAGAATTGAACCTCAAAACAATGACGGAAATGGGGAAATGGGGAAATGAGTGAGTTCTGAACCCTAGCTGATTTTTGATTTTTGAGTGAGTTCTGGTTTCATTCCTAACTCACGAATAATAGCGGAAATGGAGAAATGAAAGACAAATTGAAACTCCTCGTTTCAATATCGTAAATTTACTCAAGCTGACCACTGTTTTTAGCCGAGTCGATTTGGAGCCGTTTTCGAGCTGTATCCAAGCCATTTCCCAACCGTATCGGGTTTAAATTTAATTTTTAAAAATAAATTTAATTTTCGATACATCTAGGATATGTATCTAAGCATATCGGAGTCCGATACGGGTACTTTGCCATTTTTCACGTATCTGGGCTTCAGAGCCAAAAAGCAATAATAAGAAAGAAGATAACTCTAACCCTTGCTTTTGCGACTTGATGCCTTGATCCCTAAAGGGTAGTTTTTCCCTTGCCTCTTGTCTTGATTTTCCATTCTTTTCTTTCTTGGGTGACAACTCTTTCTTGAGTTCCTTTTTTCCTCTTTCTATATTAAGTTTTAGAAACTCTCCTTTTCATCTCACAGTACAGGTAAAATCACAACTTTACTGTGTTTCTTTCATGAACCACTGGCAGAGCATAGTGCTCTTTGGTTGTTCAAATTAACTGGTAGTAGCGCGGTGGTTACCACAGGATGCCCATGGTGCTTGCTAGATGCTGGGATCTCCTTCTTTTCAAGTCTTTTCTCCACTCCAAAACTATTTTTCCTACAAAACAATACCTAGAGCAATATTTTGGCTAAACAAGTTAATTCAAAGCTAAATTAAGTAAAAAATGTGTGGTGGGAATGTGAAAATGGCTTAAACTATATGCAAATGATATGCATTCTACACATGCATTAACCCACTAGGTTTTGGTCTAATTGTCATCCCTGAAAGAATTTGCTATTCATGAAGATGCATTGTCCTAGATCCTAGTGTACCTGAGGTGCATAGGGTTTTGATTTCTGTGGTTAGCCTTAGAGCTTTTGTTCTTCTCACAAATATTCAAACTCACACAGCAGATCTAGTCTTGGCTTAACTGTATGTTTGGCAACTTTGTTAATGCTAATCTTAGGTCAAAGAAGCTTTAGCTGCTATTGATTTGATTTTCCATGTTTTTCCCTCTTTCAGAGTGTTCATTTCAGCCTTAGAGTAAGAAAAGATGGAAATAACTAAATAATTGACTAAACTTGGAAGAAGAATTTCTTTAATGGTTCTGCCCGATAAAATTATTGGAAGCTTTAAATTAATGTTTGTGATGTGGTTGTGTTATTAATTTGGCATGACGCCTTTGGTTTGACCCTCTTAAAAAGAAAATCATATACTGGGAATAAGTAAGTCACGTTGGCAAATATATGCTCCAGATGGGTAAGTTCTATCAGGGGTTCATTTGTTAGCCTTGGCGGCACCATAAAAGAAATTCTTCCAAAGTTGAGTCGATAATATAGTTGTTTCCACCCTTTTCTTTCTTAAATTGGTGTTTGCAATTGACGGTTCTGGTACTAATTTGGTGTGCACATTTGGTTTAACCTTCATAAAAAATTTCATACATTGGAATAAAATAAGTTATGCTGGCAAGTTATATGATCCATATGGACAAGTTCTGTAAAGGGTTCATTTCATATTGTGGGAGAAGAGTGAATATTAAATGAATTAACACCTTGGTTTAACCATTTTATCTTAAAACACTTGAACAGACTTCATTCCATCTCAATGAATAAGGAAGTTAAGTCGTTAGCATCTATATGGTATGGTGTAGCAAGTTTTATGGGATATGCATTTCTTAGCCTCTGGTGAGGAGTCTTTTACTATGAAGCATTAAGCTTGATACAAGAGTTTGGCAGGCTATAAGACAAATTAGACATTCCACACTTAAACAAAAAAAATTACACCTCTCCCTGGAATACTAACCCATAAACCTTGTTTTCTGGTAATTTGCTCTCCATGGAATCTTCATTAGAATGTCAAACTTGCAGCTGTGGTATACTAATTTGGGTTTCCTTTGCTAACATGCTATAATTTTAGTTCAGTTATGCTTAATGTTAATGCCTCTGCTAAAGGATGTCTTCGTTTCTTAGTTTTCTAGGTTTCCGTTTTGCTGACCTGAAGTTCATCTTTTCTTTTGGCAGAACTTGATCAGTTACTCGAAGATGCACCTTTGCCATTCATAATACAGCATGCTGCCAAAATTTCTACTGTTAGGAGAAGAGTTTCATCACTGAATTCACTTCTAAAATCCATACAAGGGCGGATTGATAATATAGACCGCATGCTGTCTATTATCAACACTCATGGTATGTACATGTCTTCAGTGACTTTATTTTATACTTATTTTCTAATAATTGCTAACTGTTAGTATTGGATTTTTTGTTGGGTGGTTTTCTCCTATATTTTTTTTTCTTCAGCCACTATACTGTTTTATTGCTCTCTGCAAAACTATTATAAAATTTACAGTGATCAACTATCGGACATTTTCTGTCAACAATTTATTCCTAAAAGGTTCTTGATTAAATTATTAGTCATTCTTACTTATTTCATCATGACAGTCTAAAATTGTGGCATGTGAGCTGAGCAGAGCTATTATAATTTTCTGCTTTGCGGGCAAGTGGCTCTGGTCAAATGATTTCGAATATTCGCTTTTATATAACAGCATTTTTGTTTTGTATTATGTGAGTCAACTTGTTATTTTTAGTTTTGGTATGATTGTTATTTGCTTTTATCATCTCAACTGGCTTTAGTTTTAGTGTTTGTGTCGTAGGACCAAGTTGCCCAAGAATATGAAGTCCAGGTTTACTAGCTTGACAGCCATCGAAGCAGATTCTTGTCAACTACATTGGAACCTAGACTAAGAATTTTTTTCTGCAAATGAATTATTAAATACTCCCTTGTAAATACTATGGAAAACTAGTATTTTGTGCTATATATTTGGAGTTAATAATTCTTGTCTTTCATCAGTTTCATGCTAATAAGCTGAACCGCATCAGTGCATCACCATGTACGACTTCAGGACTACAGGATTCCTCCTCTTAGCCTAGCTGTGACCTGCTTTCCTTTTAGTTGGAGAAAGTTCCCTGACAACTTTTCTCATTACTTTATAATTGAGTTTTATCCTTTTAGAGGAACTCTTGAACCCACATGCACTTGCCATGAGAAAACACTGTGATCAATCACCCTAGCTGGCATATTACAGTTCAATCATCGCATCATTGTAATAGTTATCTTATCAGGTAGCCCAGAAGCATCTCGGCTGCTCTGGCTTGATAAGGAAAGTGGTCAGTATCCATTGTATGCTTAAATCTGCTACTAGGGCCACCGAAGATTTTGACAACCCTATTAGTTATGATGTCTACTATATGGTTCTGACGAGAACCAAAGGACTTGAGGTATTTTCCTTGCAGATAAAAGCAAGGCACCTTAAGCTGATTACAGGATTAACTACTAGACAAACTCATCAGAAGTCCAGACATGTGGCAATCTGATTTAGAATATTATTGACAACTTGTTAAAGTGAAATGCTATGCCTTTGTAGATGACAGGAAGGTCAAGCGTACATAAGATATTTGGTAACAGGCAGAATGATAGTGATACTGTTTGAATTACAACGGTTAGTAGTTGGATAAATAGTTTTGTCAACGTACTTGTAAGACCAATGGTGTATTTAGATAACTACCTATTTAATTACTTATTCAATACATTTCAAAACCATGACTTATGTCATAAATTTAACAATGAAATTTATTAGAACACGCTAAAAACAAATTATTTTTATAGTAGTTATGATGAATGGCTTGTACCTAACCAGTTTGCATTGATTTGATTATTCATTTACATTCATTTTTTTTTGTTCATATTACTAATACCAACTTGTTTTTATATGTAATTTTTCAGAGAAAACAACCACTGAAGGTTCTGGGTGAAATGTCACCAGCAGCTTAATCAGCTTCCATTCTTTCCATATGTACTACGCCCTTAGCCCCTTGAATTATTCTTGTTAGGCATTTACCTGACCGGTTCCAGTAAAGAACTTCAAAATTGGCATCCAGTTGGAAGTTATATAGGTTAATTGTGTTCGAAATCTCAAAAATAAAATAAATTCATTTCATTCACTAATGGATTTTCATTTTAAATTGAAAACTTGTCAATAATGATAAAATTTAGTTTATCAACAAATAATTTTGTTGTGTTTAAGAAATTTTATATTCTATCATTTTTCACAGTATTTACAAGTCGTTTTATTTCAAATTTGTGCTTTTTCAATGGAACCTGTCATATCCCATTCCCTGCAGCCAGGAAACGAAAAAGAAATGAGGAAAACAGGAACCCATTGCATGGTGGGGCTGCTTGGCAGGCACCCATCTAAATTAGCATGCCTTATTGGTTGGTAGTGAACCGGCCCATTTAATTGTATTGAACCTCTGAAACAAATTTTGCAACCCAATTCCATTGAACTATTGGGTCCACCATGAACCGCACCATCTAGATGCCTAGATGGGTGATATAGACTCGTAAATAATAGATATATGATGGCCATGTATGTTTATTATATATAAATGCAGAAGATTCGAACGATTTGGTGACACATGCAAAGTTTTCCAAGCATTACCAAATCTTATTACCTGAAGCAAATTGCCAGAATCATGCCTTGGTTTGCTGTTGTCGTTTTGTTGCACTACTGATGGAAGAAGAAAAAGACTGATTGAGCTACAGTAAAACCGTAAAAAGTTGTCCATGCAGTACTAAATTCCAAAGGGACCCAAACCCATTGCAGTTTTATGACATACTCTAACATAACAACAACAAATTATCCTTCCCAGTCCAGCTCATGTAGATACTGTGATGTGAACCCTAGTAGTTCACATGCCCCCACACTGTAGTACGGACCTCATAGGTGTGGTAGCATTATTCTATTTTTAAAACCTCCACCCAGCGTCTGCCCTTGAATCTTATAAGGAGACACTGCAATGTAGATGAAGATGAGGACAGAGATATTTTTCCCAAGTCAGCCAGCCACCAATTCCCCCAAATTTTATGTCAAAAAGTTTTTGAAAAGTAGAGTAGTAGTGATTAATTTAACCATATCATAACTCATTAACTATATTTATCTTTGCTACACAGAAAGTTTTTGTTATTTTTAACCCTCCAATCTTAGATGCCCTCCTCATCCTTTTCAGCCGTTAGCATTTTAGCTGCAGAATCCTCCCTTTCTCATCATCCCTTTTTGTGCACTGACCCACTCCCTATGCAAGGGAGAGAGAGAAGAGGGAGGGCAGTGATGCATATGATAGGGTTAAAGGGATTGGATGAGGGGGAATCTATGCAGAGGCCCGACTGTACATGAGCACGTTCTCTCTTTGATGCCCCAAAACTCACCTCAGCCTTTTGCAGGCTCCTCTCATTATTCAACAAACAAAATTGTTTTCTTTTATGAGACACAGAAAATCAGATCAAGGAGATCATGCTATAAATACACCCACTCTTATTGAATACTATATTTAATCAATGAGAGCCTCTGGGGCTGGTTTATAGACTTGGTTGTCTTACATTAATTAACCTGGGGCTGCTTCGCAGCTTATTTATCTCGCAAGATAGAAATGATTGCACGTATCCTTAACCCTATATAAAGTGAAGAGAAAGTAATGACAAAGTTGAGCTCACTAACCAAAACAACCAAACTACTATAAGTCACATCACACGATCCTGACCAGACCTCCATAGTGCAATTAAGAATGCCAATTAATTAACAAAACATGGCAAGAATCCAGGGTCTATTTGGATTTAGGGAATCATTTTGGGGGCATGTGACCCTAACAAGGGGCACAACAACAAAATTTCCCTCCACAAGTTCAAAGACAAAACTACCCTTACACTGCTGTATTGGGACACACTAAACAGACATGAGCAGCATGACTATGAAAAGGAGTGATGGTAGGTGCATCCATTCTCACGTGGTCACAAAGCCCAAACTCTAATGGAAACAAATCAACAAATGTGGTATTATAATGGAATACCCACTTAGGACTGGTCAAACACTTCACCCATATCATATAAATGCATCAAAATCCGAGTATGAATCGATACTCTTAAAAAAAAGTGAGAGGAAAAAGATAAGATGGCTCATCTGCAAATGCTGCCTAGACAGGCAGGCTAGGTTCACGGCTTGATCGGACTCTATTGGGGTACAATAAATACAACAACAAGCTTCAAAATAGTAAAAAGTGTAGTAGCATGCCATACCCATGCTCATAAAATATAAATAAATATTGACTATTTTAATTTATTTTACAATAATTTTATTTTAATATTTTATTTTTAAAAAATCTTACTTTAATCTTTTAGTACTTTTTATATACAAAAATCAAATAAATATCATTTTATAAAATTAAACATTAAAATAATTTTTTTATTTAAATCTCTTATAATTTGAAAGACTGAAATATTTATTTCATAAAATATTCCAGTTATTTAAATTTTTATTTTAAAATGTTATAAAACAATATTAAATATTTTTTGGCCTAAAATAATAATACACTTTTCATATAAATTTTTATTTAGCTAAGACGAAAGAAAATACAAATAATAATATACTTTATTTGATTAAACAGATGAAAGGAAAATAAATAATTTAAAAAAATTATTTTTTATCTTCTTATTTTTTCAAACATTTTTCTCTTTATTTTTATTTTACAAAACCAAATTGTTTAAGACATTTTTAATTATTGTACTATTTCAAAATAGTCATTACACATGCCATTATTTATTAACGATAAAAGCTCTTTAAAATTTATGAACAAAAAATTGACAAAGAAATTAAAAATAACTCTAATTAAATTTTACTTAAATACTAAAACATCTTTAATTTTTTATTTCTCAATATCTTAAAAGCTTAAGTGTTTATAGAACCTACAAAACCTTACCAAAGATTATATATTTTTTTTATTAATTTATGAACACTATACTCCTCTAGAAAAGATTGAATGAGAAATACAGTGAAATGGATATGGATGTGGAGTATATTCTTGAGAGAGGGCATGTTGTGAGCTACGGTGTGCATGAGAAAATGTCAAATCAGTTCATAGTTATAGAGACACTCAGACACAGCCCCAAACCTCAAAGCATGCGCATATGTGAACGATGGGACGGGACTCGCCGCGACAAAACCCCTCTACTCTGCTCGACAACGACAACTGAATTTTCTATCAAACGAACTCACGTGTATGCCCCAATTATTCATTCTTCTTTTAAGCCCAACTTGCAAATAAATATATTGTTAATGCAAGGATTATATAAAAACCAATGAATCATTATAGTGTCTCCAATCATCTTTATTGTGCTCCTAATTTAAATAGAATTTCAGTGATTTGAATTCAGTGCAATAAATGTGCTTACAGTTATGTTATTTTGTATTTTTACTTAAGTTAATAATTTTTACTTAAATAAAAATTTAAAATTTTATCTAAATGTACAGTACAATCACTTATTCCAGATCCAAATTTTAGTGGTATACAAGCATAAGGGCACTTGTATTATTTCACTTCGAAACTAAAAGCGTAACTTGCGGATCGAGAATTTAAGGGGGGAGGGGGGGGGGGGTTAAAGAATAGTAGTTATTAGTGTAATTCTAGATGTTTTTAAATTCGCATGACTTGTATTAACTGTGATCTTTTCTATATACTTGAATTTCACACAAACTTTATTATTAAATTTAAAAAAAAAACAGAACTTTTGAACCATTTTGTATAATAAAATAACGGAATTCCAGCGTGAACTTGAAAAGAAGTTATCTCCTCCCATTCACATCCGTTACACTGCTGGACCCAAACACGAGACTACTCACTCATTTATTTATTTAGACAATTAAGAAACCCCGCGCTCTCACATGGGGTTTGGCTTTAATGGTGGCCTGGTTAGGCTGAAAAGCAAAGCAACATGTTAGCCACGTGACTTTAACACACTCTTATCCTTTAAAAAATATAGTAAAAATTGAACCACGATTATACTATTTCATTGGTTGCTAGTTGGTATACTTTCATTTTCTGTTGCTTGTACTATTATTGAGCAGTTTGATTGCCACTTAGTCCTGTTGGGAAAATCAAAACTCTTGCAACTAAATTGGTTTGGGTTTGTAATGGGAATTGAAGAACCAAATAAAAGAGAGAATAGGTCGGATCCTAATTACAAGTTTAATTCCCCAAGTATATAATTTGAATGTGACTAAGGAGGGGGCATAGTACCACGGATGTAGAACGATTTTGATCACAGTGGGGAGAATACGATAAAAGATGAAAAAGGGGGGGTCCAAAGTGATTGAACTTTTGAACATATCCTTTCCTTGAATTATGCCCCTTGGTTATAGCAAAAATAAAATTGCTTGCATCAAATAGGAAATGGGCCTACCATATCTAATTAGTAATGGACCCATGGAGGGATAATCATGTCCGGGGAGGGAGATCTTTTCACTTCAATGAAATCAAATTGAAGCGAACTCGTTTATCTATCTATCCAACAAACTGTGAGGACAAAGATGACCCAATTTGTGGATGTTCTGTTCCACCCCTCCACCACAATCTTGGACGCACACAAAGGGAAAACTTAATAGTGAAATTGTGTTAAATTATTCATTGAAGGATGATAATCCGATCTGGGAACTCATGCCATGTCCCCAATCAAAGTACACATTTTGATTAAAAGAAAAGAAACTTGTCCCACCCAATTGAATCTTCCATAAAGGTCACACACTCGGCTTCAGGTGTGGACCACCGACCACTCAGCCAGAGAGTAATTCCACCCGTTAATCCTCTCAAGAAATATAAAAATATGCATATTTCACATATCATATCATATCATATCATATCATACCATATCATATCATATAATAGAGAAGATGTATACACATAAAATATTTATTTGTCACTTATCTGAGTTAAATGCAAACAGTGAGTAAATAAATAAAAATAAAATAAACACATGAAGGTTTGGGATCAGACTGACGTGCAAAAAATAATTCGGCAGAGCTGGCGCTTCTGTTTGAATCTATGGCATCATTTCCCAAAACACTTCACAGCATAAACCACAAAATTTTTAAAATACGAACCCCAAAAGCAGACACACTGGATAAACTCAGCATGCTACCACCACAGATCTCGAAATATTTTTAAAATTAAAAACAGCAAATTTTCATTATTAAATAACAATAACTAAAAATAGAGATTCCATATCCTTCCGATCAGAAAATAAAATAACAGCAAAAAAAGATCAACTAAGTTAGAAACAGTAACTGGATCTTTATCATCATCGTTATAATCATGGAAACAACAGCATCATCTAAAAATCCCACCCCACCTCACGTATTTACAATAATCTAAAACCCTTGGATGAGAAAATCAAATTAACCCAAAACCCCCAATCAACACAGTCCTCCTGCAATATTTCCATTACCCAGATTATAAAAAGACAAACAGTGATTGATTAAGCGGCAAAAACGTAAAAAACCCAAAATTAGAAATTAAAAAAAAAAGCCCTAATTAATTAACACGTTACCCTCTCTCTTACTCTATTATTTCAATTACGAAGGGTATTTACGTCAATTCCGAGTCCTACCACTGTGTTGGTGGCTCTTGCCGTTGTTGTTGCCACTACTAGCGCCTTCTTTCTTCTGCGGAGAAGAAAATAGTTGACCGAACCCGAAAACCGAACCGGATTTGGACCCGCCCCGTAGAGAACAAACCGGAACGTTGAGAACCGGAGTGACCCGAACGTTAGCGGAATAAGATCGTTCCATTCCCCTATGCTTGAATCGTGGACCACCATTGAAGCTGCTAGGGCTACTCGAGCTTCGTTCCAAGCTCTGAAACACAATCTTCCCCGATGAGTTCATTCTAGGGCTATCCACGGAAACTCCCCTGCACCCCACCGTATTACTCTGTTCCCTTCGAATCGGACTCCTTCCAACGCGGTTGTGTTGCCCGTCGAAGGAGCCTGTTCTAGCTTTGACGAGACGAATCCTAGGGTTAGGGTTACGGTGGAGTGAGATCGGGTTAGGGTTAGGTTTTTCGGAGTCGAGAGAGAGGCGAGGGAGATCGTCATGGTCGTGGCCAGAGGAGGAGGAGGAGAGCGAGAGGCGCGAGGAGATTGAGACGGATTCGCAGTCGGAGGAGTCTTTTAGCAGCAACGGCGCATTTTCCGAGGAGAACGACGCCGTTTTGGAGGTTCCGCGGTGGAGGAAGTGTTTGAGCGATTTCGCGGAAGAGGAAGAGGACGTAGACGACGACGACGACGTCGTCGCTTTGGTGGTTGTAGTTCCTGTGGTTTGGTAGAGTTTTTTGAGGCCGAGGAGGTCTTTCCAGCGGCTGGAACAGCGAGGGGCTTTGGGGGAGAAGAGGTAGGGGTCGGTGGCGGTGACGGCGGAGGAGGATGTAGATTTGGGATTTTCCGGCGGCGGAGAGGGTTTGAGGTGGAGAGGGAGGAGTTTACCGTCGGAGAAGAGTTGGTCGGCGGGGAGCATGGCGACGGGGTTTTCGAGGGGGAACTCGAAGTCTGGTTGAGGATCGGGGTGTGGCAGCCATGGAGGAAGGTCTAGGATGTTGTTGACACAGGCAGAAGCCATTGTTGCGTTGGATCATGTACTTGCTACTTTCAACTTTGGTTAATGAATCAGAATGTGTCTATTGTTATTGATATCAAGAAAAATGAGAGTGAGATTGTGAGAAACAGTGTTGGTTGGGTATGGTGGCTGCCATCAGCAAGCAGAAGAAGATGATATATAACAGTTTTTTCCACCTACATGGAAACTAGGGCCACGTGTCTCCTCTCTCTCTCTCTCTCTCTATTTTTATTTTATGCAATTTAGTTAAATTAAATGCCATATTTTAAACAAAACAATTAATTTTTATTTTATAACTAATTAAAGCACAACTAAATTATGGGTTTATAGAACTAATTAAAGCATTAGGTTAGCCGATTATTGAGGTTAAATTAAATTATATGACATTAAAGGATATTTAATAGCCTTTGAGTCTTTAGAGCCTAACAATAAAATTACTCTTTCTTGTTTTTTCTTTTTTTTTTCAATATCTTTTATTTTACTCTTTTTAAATTATGTATTTAAGAAGTAAATAAATACGTAATAACCCCAATGTTGATTGACTTCTTTAGAAAAAATCTATTTAATTTTTTTTATGTAATTTATTAAAATAAACTATTTTTAATTTATGTAAATAAAAATTGATTAAATTTATAATATAAATACTTAATACAATAAAAACTTGATAAATAAATATTAAGTAATTTGTTATTCAAATTTATTTAGACTTTGACGTTTTCTTGATTCTAACTGATCATGTTATCCTTATAAGAGAACTAACAGAACTTTCATGAGTATGCTTAAGTTTGAAAAAAATGAAAAATATTCAAATGATGTCAATAAATAATAATACACAATAAAATGTTAACAGATAAACTAGCTTAATGTAGATGAACTTATGCAAAAAGTTTATGTAGATAATAAAATAAAGAATAAAATAACTAAAATATTTTTGATGAGTTAAAATTTATGCATTTCATATTTCCAAAAAAAATAATTTTTTAAAAATTACAGAAGAGCACAAGTTAATTTAAATTTGTTGGAAGTTTAATCCATTTGATTTCATAATTTTTGCCTCTAATGAATTTTTATCTAAAAAACAGTGTAAACTATACTTTAAATGATTTTGAGCCTTGACAGCGAAACCATAAAATGAATTCTTCTATTTTGATTTGGCATTTTTTTAATTTTTTTTTTTTTTTTGTCTTTGTTTATTTTTCATACATGATATTTAAAAATAAATATATGTATAACTCTTATGACCTAATTTGGATGTACAACTTTTGATTTATTTAATGTATTTAAAAAATGTCTATCTGACTTAAGAGTGCATTTAGAAAAAGTTGTAGAGTTTGTAAATATATTTTAGAACTTCTGTTTGATTTTTAAATAGTTCTTATACAATATATTAATACAAGTTATTGAATAAAATAAAACTGACAAGATTTTCGTGAGTATGCTTGCGTTTGAACAAAATTTAGAATTTGCCTTGAGATATAGTTTGATTAATAATATATTATATTGTAAAATATTATAAAATGGGAAAATGATAAAAGAATTGTTTATGCTTATTTATTTAATAATAAAAAAAGAAAAGTCATTTGATTGACCAAACTGATTCCGATGATTACCCAGAAAAGCGAGAAAAAACTGATTCCAATGCAAGAGTTTATGCAATCCGTCTAAACAAATAACTCTCTGAAGATTATGACATTATAAAAAGGCTTGAATACTAAATCTTAAACACATAAAATATGAAGGATTTTTTTTATATATGAAATTTTAAAATAAATTATGGCAATATAAAAAAAATTATCAAACTCATTTTCATTCATAATATTCTTCCTCTTCAAACAATTTTTTTGTTTTCCTCAATTTTTTGAATAATTAAGGCATATTCAAGCCAACATTCATTATTCATATGAACGAATTTATAAGTGATTTCAAAAACACATTCTTCAAACTTTCTATGTTATTGTATATGTAAATCAGTCTAAATTCAAACCCAAGTAATCAAGGTGAGAGCCCACCACCCACAGTTGTTTTATTTCATATTTAAGTGGCAACGACAAAATTAGAATAAGATTTAAATACTATTTTATTTTTTTATAAAAATTACAAATAATTTTGTAGATGAAAAAGAAAATTTCAAACAATATATATTGTTTTATATTTGATCTTTTATTTTTTGATTGTTGATCCTTTATTGTAATGAAGTTATTTTATATGTTTTTTATTTTAGTTTCTACATATAACACAGTTCTTATATATAATATTTTTTGTATTTTGATCTTAATAAATTTTATTTTTTATAAAAATTAAAATGAAAAATGAATTACATATAAGAATCATTAAAAAAATACTATGTTATGCATAACTAAAATAAAAATTTATAAATGTAAAGATAACAACATTATAATAATGATAACAGCATACACTATTTTAAAAATATCTTTTTATTCATAGACTCGTTTATATTTTTTATACAAATTAAATTAAAAACAATAATTTTTATACAGAAATAAATATGATATTCAAACATTAGAATGACTATATTTATAACATTAATTATGACAAAGGACTTTAGCCTTATATTCAAAATAGTCGATCTTTTCGGAGAACGTCCAACATGGTCATTTTTCTGGTCAACATTTATTATAAACTTCTCCACTTGAAATGTGCCAGAAGGTAATCAAAAGACATCATTTATGGGGGTAGATATAAATTTGGGTTTCTCAAATAAGTCCATAATTTAATCTAATTCAACTCATTAAGGATAGACTAATTTTGGTTCACAAATTAAGTTGAATTGAAAAATTATCAAGAAGAGTAATATATATAAAAAAGAATCTTCTTACAGCGTAAGTTTAAAAATTCTTACATTAAATCTTAAACTTTTTATTTAACTAATAAATTATAACTGTTAAATAAAAAATTCTGATTTAATATAAAAATTTTTAGACTTACATCTGTATATATAACCTTTAAAATAACCAAACTCATCCCAATAATGTAATTATATTTATTTTATTTCACATGTATGATTAATTCATTAGAGAGTTTGTTGTGTTGATCTCGTTTAAGACTCTTTATTAGTAATAAAGTACACTTAAGCAAGAAATTGTTTTTATGTTAAGATCGCATTAACTTTAGCAGAATCCAACACATTAAAGTACAAAATAGATTGGTTCGGGTAAAATAAGTTTAATTCATGGACACACAAATTTTGATTTGAACCTATCACGTGTCCCTAACAACAACATATTAAAATAAGATTTTGTACAGCATGATTCAGAAATAGTTTGGACAAGTGAATTTTACCAACTCTAGATGGTTTATTTGAAACGTTCTTCACTGTACTATGCACTTGTCTTTATTTGTCAGTTACATGAATTTTTAACCCATCGTGGTTTTGTGATGCTTGTGAGACTACAATACCCAGTTGGCCATGATTCAATCCTGATTATCGGAATGTACAAACTAACATAAGATAATGAATGTCAGTGTCATGTCTCTGTGTTTCCAGTCATGGCAAAACACTCAGCTAACGGGTATTGCTGTATTGTATCTTCATGATAATCTATAATGTGACCAAGTTAACACAATCAACAACTTGTGGCTTATGCTTCTGGCTGCTATAACCCTTTAAACTTGATTTCCATTATTGTACATTGCTTCATTAAATTTCTTTGAAAGTTGTTTAATTTTTGGATTTGATTCAAGTTAAGCTATTTTGCATATATTTTGGCCAACATTTTGTGACATTCAAGTCATATAGACCACCCAACCCACCAAAAAAAAAAAAGAAATCAGTGATGTCGCGAAGATGAAAATTCAGACAACATAATTTTAAAAAAAAGGAGTAGGAAAGATCAAAATATTCATGAGAATGAATATACATCCAAAACAGCATTGCAGCATAACATATGATCATGATTTGGAGACACAGGAGAGAAAAAAAAATAATGATACAAAAGTGAAACCGACAAAGGAAACAGTAATAATGCGAAATATTGATGCCTTTTAATGAACTTTTACTAGACAACATTCCGACAACATTTATGCAACTAAATGGATAGCTAAAGTCTCTTTGGCTTTTTGTTTATATAATTGCATTTTTTTTTTTCGAGGGTCTACATTACATATACAAATGATTTTTATTTTATTTTTTTACATTTTTCCGAGGAGGATTGTACACACAAAACAATATAGGCTTATGTCTCTGTTAAATTATTGCAAAAATAAATTTAATGAATAAAATATAACTGTCGATATGAAATTCCAATGACATTTTAATTGTGAAACAAAGACTTGTCATTGATTACAACTCAACTAAAAAATATTAATTTTCCTCTGGTTGAATTAATTAGGGTGATTTTAAAGTTGAGTAAATAGGATTAAACATTGAGTATGCTATGTAATGAAGTAATGATATAACCTAAATCTTGGTCCCCGGAGGAGTGAAAAGCATGATTTTGATGGAAAGAGGTAGCTCTAAGAAGCAACAATCTCAAGCTTCAAACTGAAGATGAGGTATATTTTGACCAGTCAAGTGTTTCTTTATATTTCCATTGAAGTAAGTTAAATTTTGTTTTGTGAATGATTAAAGTAACTTTTGTACTTAAGTAAATGATGATTTATGGGTTTCTCTAAAGGGTCACAAGTAGATGTTTCATCCTATAAATGCAAGCAGAACAGGTTTGACTTGAAAAGGGTTTGAAGACAGGCGTGACTACTATTTAATAAAGAATTTGCACATGCATAATACTGTGCTCAGACAAACATCAAAAGCTCCATACACGTAAGCTTGGGTGTATCCACAACGTACCCCATACACCATCATAATGTTTCTGGACATAATATATACATATATTTATAATTGCGTTCTATAGTAAGTATATTTTTACACTTTTAAAATATTTTTCATTTTTACTTAAACAAAAGTATAAAAAATAAAATGTAATTTACGCTAAAATTCTCCAAGATTTTTCACTTTGATCGTATTTTTTCAAATTTTAATTTTTTTATATTAATTACTTTATTTAATTTTAATTTTAATTTATTAATTATATAATTTTTTATCTTTTCAAATTTTAAATAAATAGAAATCAAAATTACATCATTTTTTAATTTAAACTAAAATTGCT